ATTATTTATTAGTGCTGGGCTAGGTGCATGTCCTCTACTCTCTATGTAAAGGAGCATTGCTTTGACTACACTGTGGCTTTTTTAGATCCTGTGAACTTAGCAGTTGCACTGTTTTAACGGAGAAAGATACTCTTGAGTTCCAAACATTAGAATAACAGATATACTTTGGCACCACATTGCAAAGAAATTGAAGTTGTATTTACAACCTGCCCTCTCTCTCTTCTGTTTAAAGCCTGTGCGAGCCCAGGGAGTTCTTTGCCAGTGAGCCAGTGGCCTGCTGTGTGCTGATCACTCGGTCTGTCGGCATGCTGCACCGTGGTGGTTTGCACGTTGCTGTAATGCTGGAAGCTATGCCACTGGTATTTCAAGTACCAGCAAGGTTATCCTCGTGGCCAGGTTTCAGTGGACCTTCCAGACTAGGACAGACTGGGCAGAAAGGCCTGGCAATCTACTTCTGAAGATTAGCCCACGAGAACTCTATGAATCACAACAGAAAGTTGTCCAGTATAGTGCTGGAGCATGAGCCTCTTAGTTTGAAGACACTTAAAACACACAGGGTACTGAGGATTGTGAAGATGGTGCTGAACTGGGAGACGTTGTATCGTGTTGTGCATGGAGCCACCATGGGTCGGCCCTGACTCACTAGCAGCTAACAACAATGGCAGCTGCATGCCGAGGTGCAGAAGGGGAACTTGCCTTCTCCCCAGGGTCTTCCACGGCCTCCGAGGTGGGGCGTCAGACATAGGGTGGAGAGGCAATCTGGCCAGTGGCGTCCGAGTGCCAGGCACAGTCGTTCACATACAGAGCTGCTCAAGAGGAAAAGAAAGTCCAGCCTGCTGGTGTGTTGGGTGCCACGAGCAAAGATGGCAGAGATCTGTCACCCCCCAGGTCACTGCTTCAGAGATGCACCCTGATTTCTCATAGATGCCAAACAAAGGTGCACAAGGGACAGATTTGAGAAGTGCTACAGCCACCTTCGTCTTTGGGGTCCGAGCATGGAATGCATGATGGCTTTGACTCTTCAAGTTCTGAGCTCAGCACAGATACAGTGGGTGGAAGTTCCTCTTCCAGACCCACCGGCTGGGTGGCTGTGGGAAACCTCATTTTTTTCAGCCTTGTTCCTTCATCTGTAAACCGAGGACAAGCATGGCACTGACCTCAGGGGTGTTTTGGGGATTGAGTGAGATGACCCCCATCTAGTTCCGAGCACATGGTAGCTACTTGGTGAGTCTTGGCTAGGCTAGCAGGGCTCAACCTCATCAGCATCGGCGCTCCTCAGGGGACATCACCATGGGGAACTTAAAACACTTGTTTTTCTCTGTGAAGTTAATGCTATCAATTTGATTGTTGTTGTTGGTTGCTGTCAGTCAATTCCTACTCCTGGCGACCCCAGGTGTGCAGAGTAGACTGCTCCACAGGTTTGTAAAGGTGTGACCTATTGGTAGCTGATCACCAGGCTGGGTTTTCCCAGGCGCCTAATTGTCGAACGCTTTATTGTTTGCCTGGCTCTAGGACTCCATCGATTTGATTTACAAATACCGGCCTTTTTTCTGTTTGCATGCTTTTTAAAATTTTTATTTTGAAAAAAATTACAGTGGAAAGATCTGGCCATCACCTTAACCAAGTGATAAACTTAACACCATCAATAGTGGGATAATTGCCATTAAGACCCACCAGCCACTCCTTGGAAGGAAGGTTGGGCAATCTCCTTCCGTAGTGATACTGCCTCGGAAACCCAAGGAGGGGTTGCTATGAGTCGGGCCTGACTTGATGGCAATAACAACAACAACAACAACAGTGTGAGGTTAAGGAGGTCTGAGGGGCTTAGTGGGTAAGGCATTTGGATGTTAACCAGAAGGTCAGTGGTTCAACCCCACCAGCTGCTCTGAGGGAAGAAGATGAGGCAATCTACATCATTTAAGATTTACAGTCTGGGAAACCCAGTGGGGGTCACTATGAATTGGAATTGACTTGATGGCAGTGGGTTGGGTTGGGTTTTATTGTGGTATTAACAGCCCTGGCAGTGAAATGGATAAAAGCACTTGCTGCTAACTGAAAGGTCGGTGATTTGAACCCACCAGCCGCTCCACAGGAAAAAGATGTGGCAGTCGGCTTTGGTGAAGATTTACAGCTGTGGGAACCCCAAGGGGCTGCTCTAGTTGGGATGCAGTGTGAAGTATTCAGCATCACGTATGGGGTATTTGTGCACAGATGTCTGAGGGGTAACTAGTCAAGCCTCTACACCTAATTGGAGCTTACAGTCAATACAGAGGAAAGAGAACTACATTAACCAGAATCATGTTAACCGCACAGTGAGAAGATGCCAGCATAAGGGTCATTCTATAAAGAACAAACCTGTTGTTAGGTGCCGTCGAGTTGGACCTGACTTATAGCGACCCCTCCTTGGGTTTCCGAGGCAGTATCACTACGGAAGTAGATTGACCAACTTTCCTTCCAAGGAGTGGCTGGTGGGTTTGAACTGCCAGCCTTCTGGGTAGCAGTCAAATGCCTTAGGCACTATGCCACCAGAGCTCCTAAAAAACAAGCCTAGACTCTTAAAAATGTCAGTCTCATGAAGGGGATAAACAAAGCAAAAGCAAAAGCAGGAGGGACTGCTCCATCCTTGCCATTCAGCATGGTTCGTGGACCAGCAGCAGCATCACTTGGCCTCTTGTTAGAATCTCAGGCCCCATTCAGACTTGAGTCAAAATCTGTGTTTTAACAAGGTCCCCAGGTGACTCGTATGCTCATGAAAGTTTGAGACTCTGTTCCTGACAACCAGAGCCAGAGAGGAGCCCTGGGGTGCAGAGGCTGAAGCACTTGGATGCTAACCTAACGCTTGGCAGTTTGAGCCCACCAGCCACTCTGTGGGAGAACGATGTGGCAGTCTGCTTTTGTAAACCCTATGGGGCAGTTCTGCTCTGTCCTATAGGGTCACTATGAGTCAAAATCAACTGGCCAGCAATGAGCAGAGAGAGAAGAACCAAATGCAATGTCTAAACCTTAATTGGATTTTGGGTTAGGGAAAACAAAT